TAAACTAACCTTTTATAATTATTATCCTTTTTCACTTTCTTGCTTTACACTACATGAATCACTTACTCTCTTAAATGGGATGTAAGGACCATTTATGGTTACCTTCTAATCATTAAATTTTACTACCTGAATTATTATCTTTATTTTGGTCTTCTAACAATTGTAATGGAGTCCAATAAATAGAGATTATATGTTTATAGATTCCTTTTATTTAAAGGGGTTGCCATGAGTTATTTTATTTTTACATTGTTAACTTAGTGTAAATCTGGAGATCTATTATGGAATTAATTGTTAATTTAAAAGATTTGACAACTAAAAAAGGAGGGTAAATTGAGTTTTAAAAAAAAAAATAATATTTCACTTGTGAAACTACATTTTATAATGCATGCATGAATTGCACCGAGACAATGCTGATTTTAAGGCAACTTTAGAAAAGAATGAGAATTAGATATTTTTTAATCAATTCTAAGATTTTTAGGAAGATGTAAATTAATTAATAAACAGAATGAACGCTAGTGTAACCATAATCATGACAAAAACATACTGAGAGAAAGTAAAGCAAGTATAATACTTCAATAAAAATAAACAATTAGAACTATAACTTATCATTTTACTTAATCTCTAGTAGAGATGGGCATAACGGTTTATCTACAAACCCTTTCTCTCATCTATCTTAGCTACATCAGGTATAAAATTGTTTTAATAGAGTAGTGACAAGTATAGGTAGAAAGTTATAGATATGAAATGAATATAGGAGAAGTATGGATTTAATCACAGCCGAGCCACACTCGCCCTGCCTTACTCTATATACATAATTAATTAAATTTTTAATTTTAGTTTTGTTTTTATTCAAATTAATCAAATTTAAATAAACAAGTACTTAATGGTGTATATTTATAATGTTATTTTATATTATTTAGTGAAATATTATCTTTAAATATTATTTTAAATTATATTTTATTTTAATTAACACTAAAAAATTTTAATTATTTATTTGAATTTGTAAAGTTTTTTAAAATTTAAAAAACAAAAGGTAAACAACGTGGATGATAGACCGAAAGTTTTATTAGTGAAACAAGTGATAGATAAATACTTTTTATCCGCTTTGCATAAAAGATATATATGAGTCTATATTTTTACTAGTATGAATGAAAATACCTACCATACCTATTACAATTGTGATAACGAGAGAGATGATTAATAAAAAGTATAATTTAAGTAATTATTAATTTTATTAGAAACGAGATGATAATAGTGAAATTAAATACTAATCTCATAAGGTATGTTTGGTTCAAAAACTATATGGGCGTAAGCAAGATAGGCATAGGCAAGACAGTCATTAATTAATTTGGATACAAATTTTCTATTTATATGTAAATATGTAAATGAAATTGGAAACATAACCAAGAACAAAACACTCTAGGAAATAGAATATATATATATATACATGTATACGTACGTAAAACTGAGAACTGTCACAGGTGATATTTTCTCAAATTTTTGAAATAATTTTTAAAATTTAATATTTTTAAATATAAAAATAAAATTAGTTTAATAACATATATAGTAGATTTTTCTTTTTTAATTTACTATAAATGCACTAAAAAAATTTAAAATATAATGGGATGCATACTCCAAAAGCATATGAACTTTTTAAAAAATTCATATTGGTTTCTTCGGTAATTTTTTTATGTAAATATAATATGTATCTTTAAATTTTGTCTTAATTAATTTCACGCATTTAATAGTAGTATATTTAATAATTGTTTAAAATATGTCTACATAATAAAAATATTATTTTTTTTTTAAAAAAATATTATTAGTGTACTTGTAACATTTCTGCTACCTTAGTAATATCATCCCAATTTAACATTTTTTTTTCTTCTTCTTTTTATTTCTTTTAGCTCTCAAGTTAGGTATCTCCTTAATTTTGAAATATGATGTTTACGTGACTACTACATCATCTATTACATACACGATATTAAATCCATTGATAACAATAGAAACTAATTTAAATAAAATTTAAAAATACAACTTATATTTAAATAAATAAAAAATACTATAGTGGTGAATATGATTTTTTTTTTTAAAATAAAAGTGTTTCTAAGTTATATATATCTTTTTTTTTTTTGGGTAGATTGTTCAAAACCTTTTTCCTTTTTATTATTCACGTACTCTTATTTTTCTATTTTTTATTTCCTCGTTAATTTTAGATTATAAGATAACGAATTTTATCTTCATCATTTCTCAATTTAAATCTTTTAAAAATCATTAGAAATGCAATACAAACAAAGAATATAAAACAACATGTTATGAGGTAGAAATATGGTAAATTATCTTTTATCATATTTTTGTTTACATTTTGTAGATTTGCTATTAATTTAGATATTATATTTTTAATGTGTGCTTTTAAAAATAGATTTGTATTGTGGGTTTATATTGGGGTGGGCATAAGTTAGGTTTATTTAGTATTATTTGAGTTTAGGTTCAAACTAAATTAGAATGAGAATTGAGTTATCATAATAATAATAATAATAATAATAATAATAAATTAATATTCTCAACATTTATTTAAGTCATTATGAAAATTAGTTCCAAGATATTATAAATTTTTTTAAAAAAAAAATTATATGAAAACAGAAAAATCAGTAAAATTTAATATAATTTAAACAAAATTAACTTTAAATCACTCTACGAGTTCATACGATATTTAAATCTTTACATTTTAATTACTTTTATATAATTTTGATTCCGAATTCACACATATTTTGATCTATATAATATAATTTTATCAAGTGTGATATTTTTCTAATCGGTCTTCTAATTTGATACTAATTCTATAGCCTACTTCTATTTAATAAAATTAGAGATACTGCAAAAATTAAATAATTATTCCCTATATGAACTACTGTTAGGTCTATGACTTAGCTCGCAAGAAGTGACTTTCCCACTTATAATGGTTAAACATTTTTCTTATAATTTTTGTATATATGTGTGTGTGTGTTTGCCATCTTATTACATATATAATAATTGTAGGTATATAATATAAAATGAGATCAACTATTTTCTAATTAAATAACCCATAATGTAGTAATTCAGTCTTTTCACTACCATTTATTCTTAATTATCTTCATTTTTAAGCTCTTAACTTGATTTAATTAATATTCCAAAAGAAACATATTATGATTTTATAAAGTAGCAATATTTATCTCGGAAGCCAATAATCAAATTATTATTAGGGTATTATAATTAGAATCTTTTGGTTCTCATATAAAATAATATGTATCCACCAATATATATATATGTATATATAGTCTGTATAAATGTCTGGCTTTCCAGCACTTACCTCGATTGCCAACTAACCCTTTTCTTTTGTGTGAATATTAAATGCAATATATCCAAAACTTGAATAGCAAAGGATACCAGTTTCTAAATATAGAAACCTATGCATATGATTCTAAAAGTAAGTATTAATAGCTTTTGAAAACCTCATATGTCATGCACATATATAGTTTAATTAAAATAATAGACGATTTATATAGCAAAAGAACAATTTGTTTAAAAAACAAAGTTGGAGTATGTAGTTTATATTATCAAATGGGATCAACAGAAGAATATGAAGAAAAGAAGAAAAAGATTTTCCAAATATAGAAACCTCCATTCTCTAACATTACTACATATATATATCTGTACCATACATAGTTGAAGAGAAGTGAGCCAACAATATAAGACCTCCCTCTATAAATCTTGAAATGACCCATCTCCACAACTGCATATAATATATGTCTGCATGCATGGCACGACTGTAATGGAGTTCCTTTATGCCCTGCAGAACAATTCCTGTTGCATGGAATATCTCTAAAACAGGAAAGTAGCTGGAATGAAGGTTAAATTAGGAAAGGTTCCCACCAGCACCCATCTTCAGGAATTTTCTCTTTCTTATATCTTTAACCCAAAGGTCCTTTGTGCTCTCGCAGGATCTGCTTCAATTCTCTTTAAGCTAACACATACTAATTAAATAATCACATTATATACATGTGTGTGTGTGTGTGTGTGTGTGTTTGTGTGAAAGAGGTAGCTAGAGAGAACTGGTTTATATATGTATATATACACTATTATATATATATATATTTATATATGGGTTTAATTTATACATGAAGTTTTCCAGACCTTATCTAGGGTTATATCTATTTCTATGTTATTTATGCTTTAGTTTGATTTATGACTAATATACATGACTTTCTTTCTTACCTGTACAATATGTACTCTGAGTAATCATAAACAATCATTATCTCTAGAGTAGTAGAGCCAGATCCATTAATATTCTTGAAGTATAATTTTTTTTCCTTGAAAAAAACATTCAAAATTAATTTCTTTTATCTATCAAATTATTTTCATATATCATAGAGTAAATATGAATATTACAAATTTTTTCCCCTCAAATCCTAACCCCACTACACATTAGAACATAATATTTATGTCAGATATGCTATTAATCTTACCTCTATAAACACATGATTAACGATATATACATATATATAATTTTCTTTAAGTTTTTACAGTGGTGAATATCTTAATATCAAAATTGAATGATGAAGGAGGGTTGGAAACATGCCACATAATGTAGTAGGGGCCGTTCTCAGTCAAAATTTGAGGCTGTTAAAGCGGCTATCAAATGTTTAGTCTAATTTAGCGTGCGCGAGTATTACTATTTAGAGGACGAAGAAATTAAAAAGAAAAGAAAAGAACCCTATGCATATATATACACACACATATTATATATAAGCACTAATTAGTTAATTAATTAATTAACTTATGTTCTTGTCTTGATATTCCACTAGCTAATTTCTTAACACCCCACTAACCTTTGAAGTTCCAAGAATGTAAATATATGTTTATAGGGTTCATCAACACTATAAATACCTGCAGAAAGTCCAAGAAGAAATTAAGTTTAATCGATCACAAGCGATTTTTGAGCGTTCAGAAGTGTTTTTCGATCGATGGCAAGAATGATGAGTGATCCTCTTGTGGTTGGTAGAGTGATTGGAGAAGTGGTTGATCCTTTCACTCCAAACGTGAAAATGGCCGTCACTTATAATTCCAACAAGCAGGTTTTTAATGGCCATGAACTGTTTCCTTCTGCTGTCACTCATAAGCCCAAAGTGGAGGTTCATGGAGGTGATATGAGATCATTTTTCACTCTGGTAATATCTATCTCATCTTATCAAAATCTTCCCATCAATATATATTATCTGCAAATACCTACTTATAACATGTACTACATATATAAACAAAAACTTGTTTGTTAACAAGTGCTGATTAACAGAATGTTTAATCGTAAATTTGAATCAAATTGGTCTGTCATCATTTAAATGATATTTTTATTGCGTTATAATTAAAAAAAATTCTCCTTAATTTTTGCAGGTGATGACAGACCCAGATGTTCCTGGTCCAAGTGACCCTTACCTGAGGGAACACCTGCACTGGTATGAATTAACTGTTAATTTGAGCAGGATTGAAGTAGGGTTTTGTTTAGTAAGAAATGTAAACACCTCTAGTTGATTTGAGCAGGATTGTAACCGACATACCAGGCACAACAGATGCAACATTTGGTAAGCGGAAAGAAAAGGGTTTGTTTTACAATAGGTTTTACACAAATATATATATATGTATATATATAATTGATTATATGTGAAACAGGAAAGGAGGTGGTGAGCTATGAAATGCCTCGACCAAACATAGGGATTCACAGGTTTGTGTTCCTTCTGTTCAAGCAAAAACGGAGGAATACAGTGATGAGTACTCCACGTTCAAGGGATAAGTTTAATACAAGAAAGTTTGCAGAAGACAGTGAACTTGGTCTCCCTGTTGCTGCCGTCTTCTTCAACTGTCAAAGAGAAACAGCTGCTAGAAGACGCTAAAACCATTGAAATGAACTAGCAGTACCTCTCCGTTCCTACAAATACTTTATTTAAGAGTTAATAACCTAAGCAAAACATCACTTGTCTCCATTATATATACACGTGTGTGTGTGTGTGTCTATGTGATTGTATTAATGTTGCTCTAGTTGTACTTCTAATGTTACTTCGTGGTTTTATATGTGCTTTAATTTGTTCTTTTTAATTACTTATTGAGGGGGAAAAAGAAACAGAAAAAGAAAGAAGCTGCTATCTTATTATTAATGGTGATATTTATTATTATTTTTAAAGGTAATAAATGTTTTGTAGAGAACCTCCTCAATGAAACTAACAATCCCAACCTTGGATAAACTTAAGAATCTGTAAAATGTAAAATTTCACCAAATTGGAACACAAAAAAGGCCTCTTAGTCTAATTCACCTAGATTGATTTAACCACAAAGAACCATGAAAAACACCCAACACCTTAGCAAAGAAAATATCCATTTTTTTTTTTTATAAAAAAAAAGACTTAATATTCATCTAACTATGTAGGAATACAAGAAACTTGTCATAAAAAAGAAAATAAGAAAGTGGGAGGTTCATGAACAATATAACAACCATCCGAATTATAAAGAGCTCCATTTGCCAAAGGATGAGCTATTAAATTGAAACATGTAAGAGTACATGAAATTTAAATAACATTACACAAGTGAGATAAACAAATAAAATCATCAACAATTAAACCAAGCTTGGAATATAATGTTACCAATGAAGTGGGCAGGTTAACAACACATTGAGAATTACTCTCCACTAGTAGAGCAGAAATACTAAAGTGAACCGCTACTTATAAGTCATAACACTTCGTCGATGTGTCAACAATGTCAATCGATTTAGAGATAGAGGTTTTCATAATCCCAACAAAGATTACTTTATTTATCCTTAATATTCCTACAAAACACATCAAAACCTGTCCATCCATTTTTCTCCAATGATATATCATAGTTAACTTTATACATATCTAATCATGGTGGTATCTAAAAAGAAGGTATAATGGGAGTATCTCCATTAGCATCTTGTGGACAAGAGTGAACCTCCTTATCCAATTCTAACTCATCTATGTGAAGTTGGATATGGATTAGGTCAATGAGTAATCCAGTGCTGATGATGATTCCATTGGTTAAGACTCTACCAGATTCCTCATAATACATAAAAAAACTTAAATCCATGAATGAATAGTAAAAGTAGAGGATCTATCTTTATACTAAGGTGGAAAACCATCAATAAAGGAGGTATTAAGCCGAAGTGGGAAAAGTTTCATACTCCGTTGGCATATAAACATGATCAAAATAGATGATCAATATTTTCCTTAGCCTCTCCACACATACCACATATTTAATCTATGTTCTACCTTTATATTTTAATCTATTTTTCACTAGCAAAATGTATTTGACCAACATTCATAGTGTATTGGCATATGGAATATGTTTCTAATTAATTAAAAGAGGTAATAATTGTGGAATTTAGATGACTTGAAACTGTTTGCTGCAATGCCAATCTACCCTACTTTAATAAAGTATAATTGATTTAGTAAAAAAGCCAAGTTTATTTGTCTAGACATTCCTCACACCTTAATGGTACACATAATATTTTAGTTGTATCAATAGTTTACATACTTTTGTATTACCTCTTCTGACTGCTATATTTATGTTAATGCATTTTCTAATGATACGTAAGTAAAGTATTTCTGATCCTTTATGGAGAATAGAGAATATAGATAGAGAAATATAGATCATAGATATTTGTAATCAATCATTTATCTTATTATTTTGGGAAGGAACAATAGTATTTCATTGCTACAAATATGGATTATTGAAAAAAAAAAGTAAGACATGTATTTGGATATTTTCCTTCAACTTTACAATATTATATTATTTAATTGACATGAATAGTTGAAGGGAATTCTATGAAGAGAAAATGGATTATGGGAGTATGCGACTTGAACTATTGATTGGGTCGTGCATAAATATGCTTTTATCTGCTACATTGGAATTCACAATCAAATGTGTCTTTGTTTTAACTGCCGTGTAAGCCCCATACAGAGGATAAGTTGGTTCACTTGAAAAGAATATTTTCTATGATCAGACTCGACGATATCATGTCGTGCATGTGCAGGTTCCGTAAGATCCAGTAGAATAAGTGATGTAGCATAATCATAATTCAGATTAGAACAAAAGCTTGACTAGATTAACTTTCCATGCACCTGAGAGGATCAAATTAGAAATTCTTTTTATCGATGTATAAGGTGGTTAATGACTCTCTTCATGGGGATGTTGAAAAATAAGAACAGACCAACAAGAAATTTTAAATCACATAAGAGTTTTTATATAATACTTAAATAGATTTTCTAGATATTGATCGACAAGTAAAATGTATGTTTATAGGCTTACAAAGAAATTGCATATGTTAAAAATCAATCTATAAATACTACACTATGGCATTACCCAACTAAGGGATACATGCCTAACAAATAGAGAAAAAACTAATCACAAATTTCTTAACTAGATTTACTAAGTAAAAGATATTTAACTGTAATTTTGAATCATTCTTCAACATTCCACTCTTGATTCAAAATCATATGCACTAAGTTTATATCTAAAATAAACATACTTCTCTATAGAAAAGTGTCTTGGTAAATATATCAGCCACTTTCTCGTTTATATTATAAAATTGTAGAGTAATTACCTTGATCAAATCACAGATGAAATGATGATGCAAATTTATATATTTTGTTCTTTTATGGAAAGCTAGATTCTTGGCCATTGTTATTGCAACACTATTTTCGCATAAAATTTTTGTTGCACTTTTATGTTCTTGACCAAAATCTGTAAGTAATCTCCTGAGAAAAATCATTTAATACGCAACGGAAGTAGCAACCACATATTCTGCCTTTGAAGAGGAAAGAGCTATTTTTGCTTGCTTCTTTGAACTCCATGAAATAGTTCCAGACGTGAGAGAAAAAATATTACCTGAGATTTTTTTTTTGTCATCCAAACAATTTCTCCAATAACTATTTGTGTATCTAAATAACTTGCATTCTAAATTCTTTGAATACCAAATTTCATACTCAGTGGTTCTAGTAATGTACTACAGATTCTCTTTATTGCTCCATAATAATGCTTTGTAAGAGAGTGCATTGACTTGGAAACAACACCAACAGAAAATGTTATGTCTGGCTTAGTATGAGTTAGATAAATTAGTGCTCCCATTAGACTTTTGTAACGACCAACATCTCTTTTTTCCAGTTCTATCTTTAACTTGCAGCTTCTCATGTATATTCGTCGGAGTGACAATCACTTTGCAGTCAATTATACCAAACTTTTTGAGAAGGTTAATTGCAAATTCCTTTGTGAAATAGAAATTCTACTTTTATTTTGATACACTTATAATCCAAGAAAATAAAATAATAATCTCTAATATGTCATTTCAAGTTTTCTCATTATACAATCTTTAAATTCAACAATGAGATATTTACTAGACTTAATAGAAATTATATCATCAACATAAAGATACACAACAATAAATTCATTTATACCTTTTTTTTTCAAGTAGAGAGTGAGCTCATTCTTGCTCATTTCAAAGCCATTTTGATAAAAAAGAAAAAAGAGTTGATTTTGGTATCCAAAACTTTAGGAGCTTGCTTTAACCAATAAAGATTCTTTTTTAGCTTGTACACATTTTTCTTCTTGCCATTAATCACAAAACATTCATGCTGTGTGACATAAACTTCTTATTCAAATTCATCATTCAAAAGATAGATTTAACATTAAATTGATAAACTGACCAATTAAATTGAGCATCCAAGGCCAAGAAAATTCTCACAGGTTTAAATCGAGCAACTGGAGAAAATGTATATTCAAAGTCTATGCCTTGCTCTTGCGAATACCTTTTTGCCACAAGTATCTCCTTATATTTTTGAATGCTCCCATAAACATGATAGTTTGTCTTAAACATCCATTTAAGGCCAATTTTATCTTTCCCATTTGACAAGTCAACTAACTCCTAAGTTTTTTTTTTCTATTGCTACTAGCTCTTCTTTCATTGTTTGGCACAACTTCTTTTCTTTGATTGCTCTTTCAAAGGTGGTTCCCTCAGTTATAAATAAGGCATATGTGGATTCGTACAGCTCTTTAAGGGATCTAAACTTCCTTGGTGGAGTCTTATCAAAAGAAGTAATTGAAAATGATGTTTCTGTTCTATTTAGAGACGAAGATGTGGAGCTGCCTGTTTGTGGTGTTAATGGAGTCGTTGTTGTAAGAGTTATATATGCTTATGTGCTTGAATAATCTTCACTTTCATATGGCAATAAAGCTGTTGAATTTGCTTCTGTTTTACCCTAATTCGAACTTGAATTTTCATTAAGCATCACATTCCTTCTTATAATCACTTTGCCACTTATAGGGTTATATAACCTACATGTTTTGGATTCTAATAAATAACCGACAAAAACACATTTTCTAGATTTGATTTCCAATGTTTATGAACTTTTTGAATCAATCAAAATATAGGAAATATAATTGAAAACTCTTAAGTGGCTTACTTGAGGCCATGTATCTATCCAAGCTTTATAAAAGGTCTAATTTGGATAACTTTTGTGGGTGAAATTATCAAGAGGAATAAATTTTATAGATTTGCAGTAAGACTTATAACCAATCATTTCTTAAATTTATAGCTTGTCTCCTAATATTTGGAGATTCTAGTTATATATTTATAATTAAGTTTTCCTTTATTTGCTAGGTTACTATACTTAGACAAGTTTATTTGTATATATATATAGCCTTGTACTCTTCAAAGAATATATAGAAAAATCATTATAGCTCTTCAAAGTTTATTATCAGAGCCTATCTTTTGAGCCTTGTTTCTGTAATATACTTTTGATAATTCTTTTGAGAATTTTCTTTTATCCTTTAGAGGATCTAGTGTAGTCTTGAACTTGTTTCCTCTAATTTTTGTTCGATTGAAATG